AGGGGGGAAGGAGAACACCCCTCAAAGATGGGGGTGCGAGGGTCACCCCTAGAGGCCCCTACAGCGACTATACTCTTCTCAGCCGCTAGCAGGGACTCCTCAAGGAGGTCGACAGTGAGGGTGGTGGGACAGACAGAGAGAAACTGGTCCCTAACGACACGAAGGGACTCAGGAAGACGGGTGACGAGAAAGTAGAGAGTGATATACATGGGAGGAGGGTTTGCGGCGCGGAACTCAGCAGGAAGGGCAGCGCGGTAGCGAGCGTCACTAGCACGGAGGTGGGTAACGAGGTCAGCGACAGTGGGAAAGGAAGCGAGGTCAGGGAAGAGAAACGGTAGCATGAGGCGGCTAAGGGTAGCGGAGGAAGGGGAGGAGTAGCGTGCAACTACAGCGTCGTACAAGGCCTGAGCGGTCTTGCACTGACTAAAGTGGGCACGCTCAGAGGAAGGGAGGTGGCGACGCACAGCAAGACGTGCAGCAGCATCGCGGGTCGCCCACTTGGAGCGAACGGCAGAGTCAGCATCAGCAGGCGGGGCAGGGACAGCTCCAGAGACAAAGTCAAAGAGAGAGACCTCATCTATCGCATCACACAGTAAGTACAGCTGTAGGTCTTCAATCCAGACGGCAAAGTCAATGGCCCTCCCCTCAGCGTCAAAAGTAAGAACATTGGGGGTGGCCATGGCAGCAGCTGAAAGTCTCACCGGGCTGGAGGAGTCGGGTAGGTCAGCAGCAGAGGAACACAACTCAGGGACAGCAGCACGGCTCCTCAGGTGGCTCGCGTGGCTCAGGCGGCTCGGGCGGCTCGGGCGGCTCGGGCGGCTCGGGCGGCTCGGGCGGCTCGGGCGGCTCGGGCGGCTCGCGCGGCTCGGGTGGCGTAGGGGCTCACGGGCGGCGCGGGCTGCTGGGGCTGCTCACGTGCAGCACGGCGGGCTGCAGCAGGGCCGGTGGCGGGCTGTAGCAGGGCCGGCGGCGGGCTGTAGCAGGGCCGGCGGCGGGCTGTAGCAGGGGCCGGTGGCGGCTGTAGCAGGGCCGGTGGTGGGCTGTAGCAGGGCCGGTGGCGGGCTGTAGCAGGGGCCGGTGGCGGCTGTAGCAGGGCCGGTGGCGGGCTGTAGCAGGGGCCGGTGGCGGCTGTAGCGGGGCCGGGGGCGGGCTGTAGCAGGGGCCGGTGCGGGCTGTAGTGGGGCTGACGAGGGGCCGAAGTGGGGCCTAGGCGGGCCGGGGGGCTGTAGGCGGGGCCGACGCGGCGGGCTGTAGCAGGGGCCGGTGGCGGGCCTAAGCGGGGCCAGCGCGGGGCCGACAGGGCGTAGGTGGGGCCGGCGCAGGGCCGAAGAGGGGCCTGAGCGGGAGCACGACTGGAGGGGCGACTCGGAGGGTCGCTAAAAAAAATGCGCGCCTCGGGGCGCGCTTCGGTGGGCCCTAGGAACAGGCCCTAGGAAGGGACCTGCTCTGATTCCATGAGAAAGTACGAACAAGAAGTGAAATGACTATGAATGAAGTGAGTACAAATAGGAAACCCTAATTGGGTTGTACCCCCTATGGGATACCCCACTATAGCCTACAGAAACAAGTAAGCTATAAGTTCTGACAAGGAACTCCAAGGGCCCGAAGGCCACTCACAGGTGGAAACAATGGCTGCAAAGGCGGCAGCTGCTGCGGCTGCTGCTACTGCTGCTGCTACTGCTACTGCTGCTGCTGCTGCTGCTGCTGCTGCTGCTGCTGCTGCTGCTGCTGCTGCTGCTGCTGCTGCTGCTGCTATTGCTCCAGCCAGCCTCTCCTGCTCCAACCGCTCCCGCTCTTTGCGATCCAGCTGACAAAGCCTCTGGAAACTCGCTGGGTAGCGGTGGGGAGGTGGGGTAGGCGCCGCAGTAGCAGTGCTCTAGCTCCATTCTCCTCAGAGCTAGCACCTCCAGCTCCAGCACCCCCAGAATTAGTGTCCCCAGCACGAGCACGCCCTCAACTAGCACTGCCAGTGCCAGCACCCTTAGCGCGAGTACCTCCAGATTTAACACTGCCAACGCCAGCACCGTTAGCTCCTGCACCCTCAGAACTAGCACATCCAGCACCAACACCCTCAGCTTCAGCACCCTCAGAACTAACACCTCTAGTAGTAGCATCCTCAGCTCCAGCACCCTTAGAAATGGCACTGCCAGTTCCCGTGCCCCCAACATCAACACCCCCTGAGTCTACTGCAACGTGTTGCGGTCGTGCCAAAGGCTAATGCGGTGACTGTGAGGATGATTGTTGGGAAGGAGACGTTACCTGGCGTGCTACCGAGGGTAGATGGGTAGTGTGGGACACACCTTACGGGGCAAGACCGAGGGGGGGGGGTAGGAGTAACGGAGGAGCGGGAGCAGGAGGAGAAGCCGGGGCGAGGAAAAGGGGGAACTGGGAGACCTTGACTGGGGTACCGGGTGTAGTAGGCCATGGACTCGTCAAAAGTGACGTCATGAGAGTCAAGGAACCGGTGGAGGGGCGGGTGGAAAATGTGTAGTCAAAGGAGTCCACTGGGAAACCAAGGAAGACACAGGTGAGGGCGCAAGCCGAGAGCTTGTCCACAGAGGTGTCGCGGACAAACGCAAGGCAGCCCCATACACGAAACTCTAACGCAATACCAAGGGACCCGGTACAAAGACTGGACGGTGAATCCCTCGGCCGTGAGACACAAGGCCAGAGGTTCAGCTGGTAGGCGGCGTAGCGAACTGCGTAGGGCCACAGAAAAAAGGACGCACCGGCATGGATCATGGAGGTGCGGGCAATCTCCATGACCAAGCCTATACGGCACTCAGCAACCCCATTCTGCAGTGGGGACTCTGGAAGTGTCCAAGACTGGGTGATACCCTGCTCGCTACAGAGACCCGAGACAAGACGCTGGCTAGCCATGCTGTGGAGGCGTGGGAAAACGGGTGACCAAGACAATGGTGCCACAGGACTATCCGGTGGGTGCGTGACCGACAGGAGCATCACGCAACAACCTGACTGGACGCAGCAACCTCACCGGACGCAGGAACCTGGCCGCACGCAGTAACCTGACAAGTCGCAGCTACCTGGGGGTGCGCAGTGTGCAGAACTCTGAGGATCTAGAATCAAGCTCAGAAAAGAGAATTGTAATTGAATTGAATTGAATGATCACTTGGGTACAACACGAGGCTCTATATAGGCTCGACACAAGGCCCCGTAACCAGGTGTTACGCGAGGGTTCCGCGGGTCGCGAAGCGTCCCGAACAGATCCTTCCAGAATTCGGTAGAAGGCAATTTGGTGGCAACCGAAAAGGCCAGAATTCAGTGCACGCAACCTAGCTCGGTGCTATAACTATAATAAAATATAGGAAAGCACCTAGCATAGGAAATCAAGTAATTCATACATGCATATAATTATCCTATGCTAGAAAAAGCATGATAAAGTAAAGGCAAGCAAGCATAGCTGGCATAAGCCGTCGTACTCTCACACGTCCCCCCCTCAAAGCTGGGTGGCGTGAGATACACCTTGCTTGACAAGATAGTCCTTGAGAGCACGGCGTGCGTTGCCCATATCAGCTTCTGCAACCCAACTGACCTCAGTGGGGTCGTATCCCTTCCAACGTATCAGGAACTCGAGGGTCGTGCCACCGCGGCGCCGATGAGTGAGAACGCGCTCCACTTCGTACTCGGGCTCATCCTGTATGAGAACAGGTGGTGGTGGCGATAGCTGCCATCCCTGGAACTGTTGGTTGGGGTCCTTGTAGGGCTTCAGTAGCTGGACATGGAAAGCGTTATGAAGCTTCCATGTATCTGGTAAGTGTCAAACTTATATGCTATAGTCTGTGTAGGCTGTAGTGGGGTAGACAATATGGGGTACAATACTTTTAGATTATCCTACTTGTACCCACCTGTTTCCTAGTGCACACATTCCTCATTTCTTCACATGGTATAGAGCAGGTTCCCTACTGGGAACGCTTTCTATAGCCCACCACTGAAAATCGATTTTTTTTTTTTTTCTGACCGCAGCGCGAGTCGCCCCTGCCCGAGGCGCGCCCCGTGGGTGGCCCTCTCGTCGACTCCCCTGCCCTTAGCGGCCCGTCGTGCCCTCCTAGAGGCCCCTCTCACGGCCCCTCGCGCCACCCCTAGCGGCCTCGTCGCCGCCCTTCGCGGCCCGTTGCCGCCCCTCGCGGCCCCGTCGCCACCCCTAGCGGCCCCGTCGCCACCCTTCGCGGCCCCGTCGCCGCCCCTAGCGGCCCCGTCGCAGCCCTTCGCGGCTCCGTTTCCTCCCCTCGCGGACCCGTCGCTGCCTGTTACGGCCCTGTTGCCGCCCTTTGCGGCCTCGTTGCCGCCCCTAGCGGCCCCGTCACCGCCCTTCACGGCCCCGTCGCCGCCCCTAGCGGCCCCGTCGCCGCCCTTCACGGCCCCGTCGCCGCCCCTAGTGGCCCCGTCGCCGCCCTTCGCGGCCCCGTCGCCGCCCTTCGCGGCCTCGTCGCCATCACTAGCGGCCCTGTCGCCGCCCTTCTTGGCCACTCGCGGCCCCTTCGCAGCCCGGTCGCCGCTCCTATTGGCCCCGTCGCCGCCCGTAGCGGTCCCATCGCCACCCTCTGAGGCCCCTCGCGGCCCCTTCTCGGCTCCTCCGCCACCACCAGCAGCCGCCGCCTGCCGCCAGCAGTAGCCAACAGCAGCAGACGCCGCCGACAGCAGCGGTGGCCGCCACAAGCAGCAGCCGTCGCCGCCGACAGCAGCGACTGCTGCCACCACTGACAGCAGGAGCTGCCGCCGCAGTCGCGGCTCTGTCCCTGCCGACGCGCCTCGGCCCTGCCCCACCGCTTGCCGACCCCTACCTACCAGCCCTAGTAAGAGCAGTGCCAAGTCACGCCTGCTACTGCTGCCCCTAGCCTACTGCCACTGCTGTCATGGCTACCCCTAGCGTTCTAGTCTTAGATGCTGAGGGTCGGGCTGTTGACGCTGAGGTCTGGGTCGATGATCTACAGCTTTTCCTACAGTGCGATAGGAAGGACGGTCTCTCACTGTTCGATCTCATGTCTGGCGCCTCTACTGCCCCTGCTGCCGATGCTGAAAGCATTGTTCGCTCACAGTGGGCCACACGCGATGCTGCTGCCCGTCTTGCTGTGCGTAGTCACTTGTCGTCCACTGAGCGCGCGCACTTTAGTCAGTACAAGAGTGCTAAGACCTTGTACGATGCTGTAGTTGCACGCTACTCTTCCCCTGCCACTGCTGCCCTTAGCTGCCTTATGCTGCCGTACCTGTTTCCTGACCTTGCCACCGTTCCCACAGTCGCTGACCTCATTACGCACCTTTGCACTAGTGACACCTGCTACTGTACTGCGCTTCCTGCTGAGTTCTGTGCTAAGAACCCCCCCCACATGTACATCACCCTCTACTACATAGTCACCCGGCTCCCTGACTCCCTTCGCTCGGTCAGGGACCACTTCCTCTCTGTTTGCCCCGTCACACTCACCGTTGACCTACTCGAGGAGCACCTCCTGGCAGCTCAGAAGAGCATAGTTGCTGTAGGAGCCTCTCATGGTGACCCTCGTGCCCCCTTCTTTGAGGGGTGCTCCCCCTCCCTCCTTTTGCCCTCTGTTGCCTCTGCTCTTGCCGTCGACTTTGTCGGCACCGAGTCGGTCGGCGATGTGTCTGCCCCTAGCGGGCGACGCCGCATCGGCAAGGGCAAGGGGGGCAAGGGCGCTGGAGGTGTCGGTGGACGTGGCGGTGGAGGCGGCGGAGGGAGTGGGGTTGGCAGTGGTAGTGGTGGCGGGGGTGGGGGCTTCGGTGGCGGCGGTGGAGGCGGCGGTGGCGGTGGGAGCGGAGGAGGAGGCGGTGGCGGCAGTGGCGGAGGTGTAGGGGGCGGAGGTGGAGCTGGTCGGGGCGGCTCTGCGCAGCGGGGCGGCTTCGGTGGTGATCAGCGCCAGCAGCAACAGCGCACTCGTGAGACCCCGCCCCCCCAGCAGCTTCGTGAGTGGTACGCTGCGCGTCAGCGGGGTGGGGGTGCTGGTCCTTGTGCCTACATGCTGCGTACTGGCGACCGCACTGGTGAGCTGTGCGGTGGCCCGCACACCACCCAGCGATGCTTCGGCCGCCTGACGGACGCTTGGCGTCTCCAGTTCCCTGACGCCACTGAGATCCTTCGCTGGGACAAGTTGCTTAGGTCAGGGGTTGCTATCTTATGATGCTATTCTTGCTGCCATGTATGTTGTGTCTACTAGTGATGAGGGTGACTGTTACTTGTGTGTTCCACCTGACCCGGGCATTCGGGCTGCTGCTCTAGGTGCTGGTGAGGCTGCTGCTCTCGGTGCTAGTGCGTCTGCTGCCCCAGGTGCTGGTGAGTCTGCCCTCTCATATACCACGTCGGCTCAGGCCTTCCACACCTTCACCGTTGACTCGTTTGCTTCCCGCTCCTTTTTTCGAGGCCGCACCACGCTTACGCCGCTTAGTCGGCCAATTTCGGTCTCCCTGGCAAACCCATCTGGGGGTCCTGTCCTTGCCCACTTCTCCACTGTCTTACCGTATCCGGCGGCCCCCTCTGGCACCCGATCAGATCTCTACAAACATGGTGAGGGGTGCTGATCTACAGGATGGGGGGGTTGACCAGTTCACTCCTGCGAGTCAGCGAGTGACCCATTGTACGTGTGCTCGGACGGGCCGACACTTGGCCAAGTTTACCCATTAGACGGGGTCGAGCTTGTACACACTGACTACTGAGTCCCCTCCGGTTGCTGAGTCTGGTCAGGTAGCTGCGTCCTAGTTTGCCCGGCGCTGGAGCCGTGCTGCTGGAGCTGGAGGTGCTACTGTTGCTGCTGACCCTAGGGTCGGCACTAGAGTGACTGGAGCCACTTGTCCTGGCAGTGCTCGTACTTGCAGTGTTGGAGCTGCTGGGACTGGGGGTGCTGCAGGGGTTGCTGGAGTTGGTCCTCCTGGAGGTACTGCTAAAGCTGCTGGAGGTACTGGAGCTGGAGCTCCTGCTGGGGTTGGTGCTGCTGGAGCTACTAGAGCTGGAGTTGCTGGAGCTACTAGAGCTGGAGCTACTGGGGGTGTTGGCGCTGGAGGTGCTGCTGGCGCTGGTGCTTGTGAGGGTGCTGGAGTTGGCGCTGTTGGAGCTGGAGGTGCTGCTGGCGCTAGTGCTCCCACTGGGGGTACGGGTGCTGTCCCTACTGGTTCTGGAGGCGCTGCGCGGCCGCAGCCGTACTTCGTTCCGCTCCTTGAGAAGGTTCTTGGTCTCCCGCCTTTTACTGGTCCTGCTCCTCCCTTAGAGTGTCCACACCCTGTCCAGTCGCGGTCACAATTATAGCCCGCCTCCCCCCTGCCTGCTCCTTCTCCCTACACTGGTCCTACTGAAGGTCTTGCTGAGCGTCGTGAGCCTGCGTCTCGTCCTGCGTCACCTGTTCGTGCTACTCGCACTAGTAGTTGTGCTCCGCGTCCGCGTCCTCCTGCGGTCCAAGGCACACACCAGATGGCACTGCGTCCTTCCACTGCTCCTCTGCGTGTCCCGTTGCCGTCTCCTCCAGAGTCCTCTCTTCCTGTTCTTGATGACCCGGAGTCTAACTCTCTTCGTGCTGCTAGTCCTACTCTCACGCGTCTCTTGGCTACTGTTGTCACTGACCCTTCCTTTGAGTCCACTGCTGCATTTGCCTTGGTTGCTGAGCTTGTCGACTTTGCTGCTTGCTGTCGTCTAGACTACGCCGCTAGTCTTGTTGCTCAGTCTGAGTCTGTCTGTCCTCCGTCCGTCGGGGGTGAGTGTGCTCTTAGCACGGACGTCCTTGAGGTCAGGCAGGAGGAGTTCCAGTGTTTTGCTGCTGCTTTGCCTCATCTCGTGTCCACGCTGATTGCCCCTGAGGAAGACACGGATGCACCAGACATCCCGACTCCTCGATCGTACGCTGAGGCGATCAAGGGTCCCTACTCCTCATAGTGGCAGTCAGCCATGGACGTGGAGATGGCTTCCTAGAACTCCATAGGCACCTACCTCGATGAGGTTCCCCCACCTGGGGCGAACATCGTCAGTGGCATGTGGATTTTCAGGGTGAATCGGCCGCCAGGTTCTCCGCCTGTCTTCAAGGCGCGTTACGTGGCTCGAGGCTTCAGTCAGAGGTAGGGAGTTGACTACTTTCCGACCTTCTCTCCCACCCCGAAGATGACCACTCTTTGGGTGCTACTGCACATAGCCGCTCAGCGCGATTACAAGCTTCACTCTCTTGAGTTCACCACTGCTTTTATGCAAGGCAGCCTGCACGAGGAGATCTGGCTGCGCCGCCCACCTGGCTTCACTGGGTTGTTTCCTCCTGGTACCCAGTGGAGCCTCCGGCGGATAGTCTACGGTCTCTGCCAGGCGCCTCGTGAGTGGCACGACACACTGAGGACTACGCTAGCGGCTCTTGGCTTTGCTCCTTCTACTGCTGACCTGTCGCTGTTCCTACGCACCGACACCTCTTTGCCATCGTTCTCCATCCTGGTGTACGTTGATGACTTGGTCTTTGCCACTTCTGACACTGCTGGACTCGCCTACGTGAAGCGCAAGCTGCAAAAGAGACACACGTGCACAGACCTGGGTGAACTGCGCAGCTACCTTGGCTTGCAGATCACCCGGGACAGAGCACAGCGCACCATTACCCTGACTCGGTCACACATGGTGCAGGAGGTCCTTCAGCGCTTCGACTTCATGTACTCCTCGCCTCAGGCCACTCCTCTGTCTACTCGCCACTCACTCTCAGCTCTTCCTTTGGATGAGTTCGTTGAGCTGAATGGCCCGTACCCAGAGCTTGTTGGCTGCCTCATGTACCTGATGACCTGCACACGACCTGACCTTGCATACCCTCTTGGCATCTTGGCACGCTATGTTGCTCCTGGGAGACACCGACCAGAGCACATGGCTGCAGCAAAGTGGGTGTTGCGCTACTTGTGCAGTACGCCGGGCATGGGGCTAGTGCTTGGAGGGCGGCGTTCAGTGGTCCTCACAGGTCACGCAGACGCTTATTGGGCTGACGACCAGGCTACGCAGTGGTCGTCACAGGGTTACACCTTCAGCCTTAGCTCCGGTTTTGTTTGGTGGCGGTCTATCCGCTCGTCTTCTGTTCTCAGCTCCAGCTGTGAGGCTGAGATCTACGCGGGGGCCATGGCTGTACAGGAGCTACGCTGGCTCACCTACCTGCTGACTGACCTAGGCGAGCCGCCTCGTTCTCCTCCAGTTCTGTACGTAGACAACAAGGCCCTGCTGGCCTTGTGTTGGGAGCACAGACTGGAGCACAGAACGAAGCACATTGCTCTTTGCTACTTCCTTGCTCGTGAGCTGCAGCAGCGTGGTCAGCTGCGCCTTGCTTACGTGGCCTCTGAGGCCAACACTGCTGATATCTTTACCAAGGCACTTCCGCCTTGTGATCATCAGCGCTTCTGTACGATGCTAGGTCTTGTGCCTACTTGGCCTCACTTGCTTACTTCTTGACCTTGCTTGCAATGTGATCTTTCTATATCTGCACTTGTTTGTTTGCCGTTATATATGATCTTGCGTGTGAACTGGCCTTGTGGCCTTGAACTTGTGCTTGGATTATGTGGTGACGTTGTGATCCACCCTGAGCTTGCTTTGCTTTGCTTGTCTGGTCTTGTGACCTCTTGTTCTCCCCCACTTTGCCTATGGGGGTGTGTCAAACTCATATTATATAGCTTGTCTAGGCTATAGTGGGGTAGACACTATAGGGTACAGTTTCCTAGGGTTTCCTACTTGTACCCAACCTTATGCTAGTTCATTCATTCCTCATTCTACACAACGCGCGTGGCTACAATGGCGTGTGCAGGCTGCCTCTGCGTGAATAGTAGCTGTTGCACGGGCTGCTGCTGCTGCGCGAGCTGCGGCTATTGTAGCGCGTGTGGCTGTTGCTGCGCGTGCTGACGTGAAGGAGTAAGTAATGATCGTTCGAATTTGTGCTTGTGATGCGATGACTATGGGATTTGGTATTGTGACTCTATATGGGGGATAGACTTTTGGGGGTTGGGAATTTTTGTCACTCTACTATAGTTTTTTGCCAAGTGGTTGGGAGAAGCCAAACCAGGTTGGCAAGTGTGGCCAATTGATGTGAGTGTCAGAACATTATAGCTCATGCATATTGTGTAGGCTATAGTGGGGTAGCCCATAAGGGGTACAACCCAATTTGGGTTAGTACTTGTACCCAATTCATTCATAGTTCATTCATTCTCGTTTCTTCTTATGGTATCCGAGCAGGTTTCCTCGTGGGAATTGTTCCTAGGGCCCACCAAGTCGAAATTTTTTTTTTCCTGCCCAGAGCGCGCTTCACTTAGGCCCGAGTCGCGCCTCGTGTGCCCTCTCTACCGTCGCGCCCGTCCTAGGCCTCCTTCGGCCCCGTCGCGCCGCGCCTAGCGGCCTCCCTCGCGCCGCCCTTACTTGGCTAGTCGCCATCCTACGCGGCCTGTCGCCGCCCTTGCGCTGCCCTCACCCGCGGCCCCGCCACCTTACCTGCGGCCCCGCCGCCCCTTCACTGCGGCCCCGCCACCTTACCTGCGGCCCCGCCGCCCTTCGCTGCGGCCCCGCCACCTTACCTGCGGCCCCACCGCCCTTTACCTGCGGCCCGCCACCTTACCTGCGGCCCCGCCACCTTACCTGCGGCCCCGCCGCCCTTCATTGCGGCCCTGCCACCTTACCTGCGGCCCCGTCGCCTGCTGCTGCGGCCCCGCCACCTTACCTGCGGCCCCGCTGCCCTTTACCTGCGGCCCCGCCACCTTACCTGCGGCCCCGTCGCCTGTTGCTGCGGCCCCACCGCCTTACCTGCGGCCCCGGCACCTTACCTGCGGCCCCGCCGCCCTTCGCTGCAGCCCCTTCGCCTGCTGCTGCGGCCCCGCCACCTTACCTGCGGCCTCGCCGCCCTCACCTGTGGCCCCGCCACATTACCTGCGACCCCGCCGCCCTTCGCTGCGGCCCCGCCACCTAACCTGCGGCCCCGCCACCCTTACCTGCGGCCACATCACCTGCTACAGCGCCGCCCGCCACCCGAGCTGCCCCACCCGCCATACCCAGCCGAGCAGCCGACCGCCGAGCCGCCCTGCAGCCGAACCGCCGAGCAAAAGCCGAGCCGCCCAGCAGCCGAGCCGCCGAGCAGCCGAGCCGCCCAGACGACGAGCCGCCCAGCAGCCGAGCCACCCAGTAGCCGAGCCGCCTAGCAGCTGAGCCGCCCAGAAGCCGAGCCGCCCGCGCCACCGAGTCGCCCGAGCCGCCCAATCTCGTAAGAGCAGCGCCTCTTTCTCAGCACTGCCTTTACCCTAGTGTTTGCGCTACTAGTCTAATACTGTCATGGCTACCCCTAGTGTCCTCACTTTTGACGCGGAGGGTCGGGCCATTGACTTTGACGTCTTGATAGATGACCTGCAGCTTTTCTTACAGTGCGATAGGGCACACGGACTCTCTCTCTTTGACCTCACCTCCGGTGCCTCTACTGCCCCTGCTGCTAATGCTGACGCTACTGTTCGCTCACAGTGGGCCACCCGTGATGTACATCACTCTCTACTACATAGTCAATCGTCTCCCTAACTCCCTTCGCGTAGTCAGGGACCACTTTCTCTCAGTC